CTGGAGATCCTCTCCTGTTGTCAATAAATGTCTCTCTGGAGGTCCTCTTCTATTGTCAATAAACGTATCTCTGGAGGTCCTCCTCTGTTGTCAATTGTCAATAAACGTATAACTGGAGATCCTCTTCTGTAGTCTTTTGTAACTAAATGTATATCTGGAGATCCTCTTCCGTTGTCAATAAATGTATACCTGGAGGTCCTCTTCTGCTGTCAATAAATGTATATTTGAAGATCCTCTTCTGTTGTCTTTTGTAACTAAATGTATATTTGGAGATCCTCTTCTGTTCTCAATTGTCAATAAACGTATATCTGGAGGTCCTCTTCTGTTGTCAATAAATGTGTATTTGGAGATCCTCTTCTGTTGTCAATAAATGTATATTTGGAGATCCTCTTCTGTTCTCAATAAACGTATATTTGGAGATCCTCTTCTGTTGTCTTTTGTAACTAAATGTATATTTGGAGATCCTCTTCTGTTGTCAATTGTCAATAAACGTATATCTGGAGGTCCTCTTCTGTTGTCTTTTGTAACTAAATGTATATTTGGAGATCCTCTTCTGTTGTCTTTTGTAACTAAACGTATATTTGGAGATCCTCTTCTGTTGTCAATTGTCAATAAACGTATATCTGGAGGTCCTCTTCTGTTGTCAATTGTAAATAATGTATATTTGGAAATCCTCTTTTGTTGTCAATTGTAAATAAAGTATATTTGGAGATCCTCTTCTGTTGTCAATTTTAAATAAATGTGTATTTGGAGATCCTCTTCTGTTCTCAATAAATGTATATTTGGAGATCCTCTTCTGTTGTCCATTGTAAATAAATGTATATTTGGAGATCCTCTTCTGTTGTCCTTTGTAACTAAATCTATATTTGGAAATCCTCTTCTGTTGTCAATAAACGTATATTTGGAAATCCTCTTCTGTTGTCAATAAACGTATATTTGGAGATCCTTTTCTGTTGTCAATAAATGTATATTTGGAGATCCTCTTATGTTGTCAATAAATGTATATCTGGAGATCCTCTTCTGTTGTCAATAAATGTATATCTGGAGATCCTCTTCTGTTGTCAAGAAATGTATATTTGGAGGTCCTCTTCTGTTGTCAATAAATGTGTATTTGGAGGTCCTCTTCTGTTGTCAATAAACGTATATCTGGAGGTCCTCTTCTGTTGTCAATTGTAAATAATGTATATTTGGAAATCCTCTTTTGTTGTCAATTGTAAATAAAGTATATTTGGAGATCCTCTTCTGTTGTCAATTGTCAATAAACGTATATCTGGAGGTCCTCTTCTGTTGTCAATTGTAAATAATGTATATTTGGAAATCCTCTTTTGTTGTCAATTGTAAATAAAGTATATTTGGAGATCCTCTTCTGTTGTCAATTGTCAATAAACGTATATCTGGAGGTCCTCTTCTGTTGTCAATTGTAAATAATGTATATTTGGAAATCCTCTTTTGTTGTCAATTGTAAATAAAGTATATTTGGAGATCCTCTTCTGTTGTCAATTTTAAATAAATGTGTATTTGGAGATCCTATTCTGTTCTCAATAAATGTATATTTGGAGATCCTCTTCTGTTGTCAATAAACGTATATTTGGAGATCCTCTTCTGTTGTCAAGAAATGTATATTTGGAGGTCCTCTTCTGTTGTCAATAAATGTGTATTTGGAGATCCTCTTATGTTGTCAATAAATGTATATCTGGAGATCCTCTTATGTTCTCAATAAATGTATATCTGGAGATCCTCTTCTGTTCTCAATAAATGTATATATGGAGATCCTCTTATGTTCTCAATAAATGTATATATGGAGATCCTCTTCTCTTGTCAATAAATGTGTATTTGGACGTCCTCTTCTGTTGTCAATTGTCAATAAACGTATATTTGGAGATCCTCTTATGTTGTTAATAAATGTATATTTTGAGATCCTCTTCTGTTGTCAATCAATGTGTATTTGGAGAGCCTCTTCTGTTGGCAATAAATGTGTATTTGGAGATCCTCTTATGTTGTCAATAAATGTGTATTTGGAGATCCTCTTCTGTTGTCAATTGTAAATAATGTATATCTGGAGGTCCTCTTCTGTTGTCAATAAATGTATATCTGGAGGTCCTCTTCTGTTGTCCATTGTAAATAATGTATATCTGGAGGTCCTCTTCTGTTGTCAATAAACGTATATCTGGAGGTCCTCTTCTGTTGTCCATTGTAAATAATGTATATCTGGAGATCCTCTTCTGTTGTCAATAAATGTATATCTGGAGATCCTCTTCTGTTGTCAATAAATGTATATCTGGAGATCCTCTTCTGTTGTCAATAAATGTATATTTTGAGATCCTCTTCTGTTCTCAATAAACGTATATTTGGAGATTCTCTTCTGTTCTCAATAAATGTATATTTGAAGATCCTCTTCTGTTGTCAATTGTGAATAGATGTAGTTCGGGCATACGTTCAGAACGGTCACGTCATATCGAAAAGCTTCGTTTAACGGCACTTGGATGACTAAAGTTTTCCACTTTTGAAACCACATTGATGTGGAAGTGCCTTCCATACACATTACCACCAAACATTGTGTGAAGTCCTTCGAGATCATTCATTGATGAGGCCGTGTTCGTGTCTGTATTTTGGACCACAGTCTTGTTACAAGTTGGGGTCAACTGATTCGGTAGACATTGTGTTGAGGCGAGAACAATGGCTTCTGGAGGGACGGATAATATGCGCGAAATGATCTTGTGCTGATCAGAGTTAATTTGAAAGTGTTCTGATGAGCAACTGTTCTCTGAACGTAGACATGATTTATGAGGAAAGGCACATACGCTTTCAAAAAAACGTTTTGGTGCAATTGTTCTAATTTTAATTGGATTCTTCTTGTAGAACAGGTGATTTTTTGTAAATTCAAATAATCGTCTGATTTTTTTTATACAATCTATCGTTACGGTGCTGGGACATAGATATTTTCCGGAATGTAATTTATTCCCACACAAATATGCACGAATGAACACGAGGAGCGTAATTATTTATGCAAGATTGATGGCACGAACGTTTCGATCCTGGTAGATTATTGAAACGAATACCCGGTTCAAAAATGATTTTATTAAGTCCTCACAATCTAGAGTCTCCTAAAACAGTTGTCATTTAATGAAGCGAACACCGATTATAATGGAAACGAAAGTAGACCACGTGGTCAGTATGAAATATACAATGTAATGTTACATAATTCGACAAGACTAAAGGAGTTGCCTCCCATGTTTTGCAGGGTAGACTCAGGAGTGTGACAGTGCTTATTGCTGTTGTGGGAGCTTATGTTGGGCTTAGACAGAGTGAGGTCCCTTTATGAAATTGTATTTCAAGCCAAAGTATCAGTATCATGTGTTGTATAAAGCTTCTGTGTCAGGAAATCTTGTTGTTATACAATTCTAAGTGCATAATACTGCAGTATTGTACCAAATGTCTTATAATTAGTGCACATTTGGTATTTTCTATATATAAACAGAATCTTGCTGCTGTCTCATGCTAGTAATTGTGTAGAATTATTGTAACTTGATCATATGGAGTTAACAATACCTGTACAATATGTAAATTGGAGAATATCAGCAATGATAACGCAAACAACTTTTCTGTACAATCTACTTTAATGTTTCCTGTATTTACTTTGCAGCTTTTACTATATGTTTTCAATGAATAAAGCACCTTTTTCAAAAGACTGGCTTTACATAAAATAATGTAATATATATAAAAAATATCACCTGATCACTTAAGATTACCAACCATGTTGTTGTCTAGGTTGGTTTTGCATATGATAAAGGGGAATAGAAAACCTCTTACTGTGTAAGGTGGCCATCTCTCATTTATTGCATCCAATACAAAAACAAAACAAAAAAACGACTGAAATCCGGAATCAGGTATAAACTAATTTTGAAAATATGACATAGTGCATATATCCGGAAAATTACCAATGTATACCAATACAGAACACCAGACAAGGATATAATAGTATGAATAAAACTGTAATTCATACTCAAGAATAAATAAAGAATCAATTTGATTGTATTCTTCCTGAAAACCCAAATGTAAGAATGGGCTTATTTCAGTGTCAACCAATGAAAATAGCTGTGAGATAACTTTCACCACATGACATTGTTTAATAGGTGAATGTGTCAGGAAAAATTGGTGTGTCAATTTATATCAACAATGAGTGTTGCCTTGTGCTGCTATCCGCTCTTTTCCATGAGGTATTTGATAACTAGATATATAAAGATTTGACTATTCAATCAGTAAATCGAACAAGACATCGATGCATTGATATTTACCGACATAAAACACACATTAAAAATGATATATTTGTGTATCAGCTAAGGTATATGAGGGGAAAGTACTACCTTACTGGCAAGCTAGCTTTTCCAGTGATGCGGTTTAACCTGGGGACCCGCTCACCAGTTCAGCAACGTCGAGCGTGGTCAGTAGTTGGATGGGTGACCGCTCGCACGTTACAACTGGTCTCTCATCTACGAGGCCGACCGCATGAGACCCTGTTTTATAGTATGTCTAGTGACACTGCCGACCTTGCTGTACACACTAGTTTACCTTAGCACAGCTGTATATGCAGTCATGTATACGAGGTGCGAATTTCTTAAAATAATAAAAGTCAACAGTGTATCGCACAGTCCTAAAATCAATATGGTTTCGTCTAAAAACCCACGCGACAAGATGCATATGACATAAAAAAAAAAAACTACTTTTCCCGTTATCTTGCAAGCAAGTTTTTAATTTGCCTGGCACAAGGGGGAATCGAAAAACTGCCGAAACATGAAAATAGTACTGTTGAGACACCTTAAAATATCCGGAGACGAAATCCATGGGACCCTGTTTTATAGTATTCCGTCTTTGCGTATTGCAGAGTTATCTTCTCTTGTGAGCAGGTATTGATTGCTACGTCATTGGTTTGTGAGAGTAAAGTCATCAATTTTTGAGAAAACGACGTTATTTTCTCACACAAACCAATGACGTAACAATCAATACATGCTCACAAGAGAAGATAACTCTGCAATACTCAAAGACGGAATATGCGTAGGTGAATACGCTTTAATTGTGTATTCACCTAACGACGAACAACGCATTTAAAACGCATCAAGGCAAGTGGTTCGACGCTATTTTCAAAACATATCTGACAACATTTTATTCATTGTAAGTCATCTGGAAAATATCAGTAATCAAAAGCTGCTCGTTAAGCAGGAGAAATCACATGAAAGTTGACAAAGAACGATAGACAGATTAATGATGGGCACCATCGCTGATGGACACTCAACAAAAATCAGTACAAGTTCTCACTTCGACCTTTATCATTCAGCGTATTCAATCAGAAAATCTAAACGATTACATAAAACCATGATGATTCTTCCTTAACCTGTGAAACTGAAGGGGGTGTTAGGACTTTCGACCTTAATGCAATCGAACTAAGTGAATATAATATAGGTTTTTCAAAATGTTTAATTTCTAAGAGGAGACAATACCGTTCAGTGATACAAACGGAATTCACAATTTTGATAAATGTCCCCAGGATCTTCAAAATCATGCAAGTTCGTTTTACAGCTTATCTGGAGCTGAAATAAATAATTTTGAAATTGTAACCAATTTGATCCCTTTTGGCAACATCCCTCAAGTGACCTTGGTGTTCGATCAACATAGTTCACAAGTTGTGTTTGCCTTAGATAATTGAACCTTCCAGTATACGTTTATTGAAATTGCTTCAGCGGTTTACGAAAAGAAGTCAAAAGTGTAGGTTATTTACAGAGAGATGATAGATTACGTCAGACAAAAGACATCAAAAAGTCAACTGAGACCTCTACTCAGCAGAAATGCAAACAATGGATTGGAATTTGTCATGGCTATGATTCAGGTGGCTAATCCTCAATCCTTATGGAACGCATAAGTCAGCCTAAATGATCACTGGCTATCTAGGTAGAAACAAATATCTAAATACCGATAACTCAAAACAATGGATTGATGACGTCACAATCGTGTTCGTTTAGTGTTGTGATGGTTTCGTTCGGGTCCAGCATTCGTGATTTTCCTCTGTGTCCTTCGTCCACCTGGTGAACATATCAAAAGTCAATATCAAAACAACGTGCATCCCATTTGCTCTTTGATATCAATTATCAAGTCAAAAGGCGACAGCGGAATCGATAAAATCAACTGCTGAGTATCTAGTTTATAAACAGCGTCAGAACAAACAAATACGACTTATGTTCCCTAAAAATATATCAAATTATTCTTTCCATATATGTATCTAAGTTTCTTTCTATGAAGATACTTATTTAGAAATGATGGAATGAACCCTACTTTCGTTTCATTTTAACCTGGAATATGCTTGATACTAATCGCTTTGTTTTGTTATTTGTGACCTAATGATGATGACCTATAAGACAGACCTACTGTTGACCTTTCAAGACCGACCTACTGCTGACCTTTTCAGACACCCCTACTGTTGACCATTTAAGACGTACATATTGCTGACCTTTTCAGACAGACCTGCTGCTGACCTATTAAGACAGACCTACTGCTGACCTTTTCAAACAGACTTACTGTTGACCTTTTAAGACAGACCTACTGCTGACAATTTAAGACAGACCAGACCTACTGCTGATACCTTTAGACCGACCTACTGCTGACACTTTCAGACAGACTTACTGCTGACACTTTCAGACAGACCTACTGCTGACACTTTAAGACAGACCAGACCTACTGCTGACACTTTAAGACAGACTTACTGCTGACGCTTTAAGACAGACCTACTGCTGACACTTTATGACAGACTTACCGCTGACGCTTTAAGACAGACCTAGTGCTAACACTTTTAGACTTACCTACTGCTGACACTTTAAGACAGACTTACTGCTGCCACTTTAAGACAGACTTACTGCTGACACTTTAAGACAGACCAGGCCTACTGCTGACACGTTAAGACAGACTTACTACTGACACTTTAAGACAGACTTACTGCTGACACTTTAAGACAGACCTACTGATGACACTTTAAGACAAACTAACTGCTGACACTTTAAGACAGACTTATTTGCTGACACTTTAAGACAGACCTACTGATGACGCTTTAAGACAGACTTACTGCTGACACTTTAAGACAGACTTACTGCTAATACTTTAAGACAGACTTACTGCTGATACTTTAAGACAGCCTTACTGCTGACACTTTAAGACAGACCTACAGCTGACACTTTAAAACAGACCTACTGATGACACTTTAAGACAGACTTACTGCTGACACTTTTAGACAGACCTAATGCTGACACTTTAAGACAGACCTACTGCTGACACTTTAAGACAGACTTACTGCTGACACTTTAAGACAGACTAACTGCTGACACTTTAAGACAGATTAACTGCTGACACTTTAAGACAGACTTACTGCTGACACTTTTAGACAGACCTAATGCTGACACTTTAAGACAGACCTACTGCTGACACTTTAAGACAGACCTACTGATGACACTATAAGACAGACCTACTGCTGACACTTTAAGACAGACTTACTGCTGACACTTTAAGACAGACTAACTGCTGACACTTTAAGACAGACCTACTGCTGACATTTTAAGACAGATTTACTGCTGACACTTTAAGACAGACTTACTGCTGACACTTTAAGACAGACCTACCGCTGACATTTTAAGACAGATTTACTGCTGACACGTTAAGACAGACTTACTGCTGATACTTTAAGACAGACTTACTGCTGACACTTTAAGACAGACTTACTGCTGACACTTTAAGGCAGACTTACTGCTCACACTTTAAGACAGACCTACTGCTCACACTTTAAGACAGACTTACTGCTTACACATTAAGACAGACCTACTGCTAACACTTTAAGACATACTTACTGCTCACACTTTAAGACAGACCTACTGCTGACACTTTAAGACAGACCTACTGCTGACACTTTAAGACAGACTTACTGCTGACACTTTAAGACAGACTTACTGCTGACACTTTAAGACAGACTTATTGCTGACACTTTAAGACAGACCTACTGCTGACACTTTAAGATAAACCTACTGCTGACACTTTAAGACAGACTTACTGCTGACACTTTAAGACAGACTTACTGCTGATACTTTAAGACAGACTTATTGCTGACTCTTTAAGACAGACTAACTGCTGACACTTTAAGACAGACTGTACTGCTGACACTTTAACACAGACTTACTGTTGACACTTTAAGACAGACCTACTGCTCACACTTTAACAGCATATCAATGTTACAGGCATCACCAGAGTTAAGCTTGATTAACAAGTAAATTAATACTTACGCATGGATTTTTTTGTTTTTTTTGCCATTCTTTTCGGCTTGCTAAAAAATAAAATGTTCATTTTCAATACAAAAACACAATAATGATATAGTATCCCAAGGGTCGAGTACATTAGGAACTGTATTTAATCAAATACATACTTAATAGATATACAAATTGTAGTTCATTAATTGTAAACTGAGTGTCTGGATTGATGAAACCAATACAACTTGGAGGATAAACATTGTGTCTATTTTGGAGTTTTGAGATAAAAGAACGTTTCGTTTTAGAATAAAGAGTTTATCAAGTTTGCAGATTTTTGGTCATCTCCACTCATAAATAATATTTACTTCAAAAAAGGTATATTATAATAGGTATTCGGTCTTTGCGTATTGCAGAGTTATCTTCTCTTGGGAGCAGGGATTGATTTTTACGTCACTTGTTTGTGAGAGTAACGTCATCAATTTTTGAGAAAACGACGTAATTTTCTCACACAAACCAATGACGTAACAATCAATACCTGCTCCCAAGAGAAGATAACTCTGCAATAAGCAAAGACGGAATAAGTATATGGCCTTTTTGTGAAAAAGTGCAAAAATAAGGACTTATTGATGACAGATCTTACTGAGATCTTACTGAGAGTGAATTTTCTGTGATATCTACTCACTCTCCAAGGTGTGATACCTGGCTGGACATTTACCTGCGCTGATCTACTTTACAGTATTCAGCGTGCACCACCAATAAAATGACCAGATTAAATACTAGGGCAGGGAATAGAGCTGCTAACACTTCAAAACAAATGAAACTTACTGAGGGAAGTGATACAGAGAGTTTTACAAGAGAAATATGGAAACTCAGAGAGGAAATCGGGGACATAATAAACCTCAATGGAAAGGATAAGTAAAACTTCAGAAATAAAGGAGATTGTGGAAACGGATGTAGCAGAGGTGATGAAAAATTCCTATGGAAAGATGAAAGAAGAAATATCAAGAGATGTGATGATAGAGACAAAGGAATAGATGAGACATGAAAGTGACATAGTTAATGAAAAAGTAAAAGGGCTGGAAATGGACATAGCAAATATTCAGGATGAGATGGGTAAAAGAGAAAAGAGACTCCAGGAAATTCAGGATTTTCTTGTTCATTAGCAGAGGCGATTAGACCTGACAGAGGTAGCAGCAAACAAAAATGATAATATTCCAGAAAAAATAACATCAAAATCTATGGTTTTGAGGAAACGAAGGATGAGAATTTCGGAAATGTGTTCCAACAGAAACTTGACCAGATAACAGGTGTAAGAATCAATGGATACTATGACGTTGTGGCCATTCATCGATTACCAAGTTCATCTTCACCTAGTCCTGTTATTGTGATTTTTTTAACAATGATATAAAAACGATGGTTATGAAAAACAAGAAAATATTACGTCGAGCTGGGCTAAGAATACAACATGACATTACAAGGCCCAATGTAAATCTCATGGAAGCAGTAGGAAACAATGAAAACATTGAGTACAGTTGGTTCTTCAATTGCCAAGTGTATGGACCTGCACTGTGACCAAAGGACAGGTAAAAATTTGGACTAAACGACAACATCAAGGATATTTTGTCACAACACATTCAGGATGTGAATGAGAAGCAAACAAACACTAGACACTAACTTTGAAAATAATTATTGTGGTATAACTGTACAGGGTGATTAGGATGGACCTCTGAACTGTCTATTAGACCAAATCATTCAGTGGTTAAATACATTTGATGTGTAAATACAGTGTTGGGTTCTGTTGTTATGTATGGATATAATGACATATACCCCTCTCATGGTAAGTGCTTCAACTACATGTGTATATTTATGTTTTTCATAAACTGGATTGCTACTTATTAGACTTTAATTTTTGACACTCATTGCTAGAAACGAGTTGAAACAAATACGAAAAACTATGAAATTCCCTTGGTACAAAGATCAAATATATAAAGAAATTAATATGATATACTACCAAAGCACTTTTCACATGTATGTGTGGATTACTTCCCCTTGCTGATATGACATGAACCTGCCTGCATATATCGATCTAAGCTTGATCAGAGTTGGTGTTTTTATGAGCGTCCAATACAAATGTGTAGGATTGTATATAAATCAGAACGATTTTACAAAGCAAGTGAATATTCAAATGTACAAGCTGAACTATTGTGTGTGATTAAAAAAAAACATACAAATTTGGTATTGGCAAATAACCTCATGTTTAGTGAAAATATCCAACATACGTGTTAATGGGTGCATTGTAATAGTAATTATCATATATTTACTAATAATAACACCCTTTTTGTATGTTTAATAAGTCTAAAATTTTAACAAGTTGGTATCAGCCCGTGTGATATCACACCCCCTTGAAAGTGATATCACACACCCTAGAAAAGTGATATCACACCCCTCAAAATCTCGACGTTTTTTTAATCTCGCTTCCAGATTTGTTTTTGCTTATTAGTGTTACAGTGTTATTTTGTTAAAAATATTAATAACCATATGATTTTGTAGGAATTTCGGAATTTCTAAATGTTGACTTTTAACGTTTAATTGTTACTGTTGTGTTTATATACATCATTGTATTTGTTACCATTTTTATCAGAATATCAGTAAATAGAATTAAGAAATATTTGTTTGTGTATGGGTTTTTTTATTTTAAAGGGAAAAAAAACATACGATAAAAAGTTTATGATATGACCATTTTGATATCACAACCCCAATCAGCCCTCGAGTCCTGATATCAGCCCTCGGGCCTACGACCGTCTGGCTGATATGGGGTGTAATATCGAAATGGTCATATAATAATCTCTAATTACTTTATGGTCAGTTAATATATCACATTCATATAAAATCATTCATAATTTGTTTGATGAATGCAATTCTGTACTGCGTTAAATTTACTTGTATTAGTACATGTCCATGTGAATACACATACTCACTAAAACTGTTTAAGAAAGAAAAAAAGGGTTCCAATTTGTACATAACTTTGGAATGAAGTTAATTATTAAGAATGAGAAATTTATACAATATTATTTTCTATGTGAAAAATACTAATCATCATTTGTTTAAAATTTACAGTATATCCTAAATATAAAAAAGCACTGATTGTTAAACAATACAATTGAAAGAGATCAGGGTAATGATACCGTGAATATGGTATGAAGATATTTGAACGTTGCTACACATATACAATAAGTTATATTACCTTTTTGTCTGAGCTTGCTACACATATGCAATAAGTTATATTACCTTTTTGTCTGAGCTTGCTAAACATATACAATAAGTTATATCACCTTTTTTGTCTGAGCTTGCTACACATATACAATAAGTTATATTACCTTTTTGTCTGAGCTTGCTACACATATACAATAAGTTATATCACCTTTTTCGTCTGAGCTTGCTACACATATACAATAAGTTATATTACCTTTTTGTCTGAGCTTGCTAAACATATACAATAAGTTATATTACCTTTTTGAGAATGCAGATCTGACTCCACTTCCGAACGAGCGAAGAATGTCATGACTATATATCAAATATCCTATTAAAACAGCTGATCCGAATGCACACATGCCGAAGCTAGTGATCCAGATGACGTTTTTAGGGTCTTCGATGAAGTGTTGGTATCTCTCGGTGGTGGTGGTTGATGGTGCTGTGCTTGTTGATAGGACTATTACAGTTATACCAGCTGTATCTATGAAAATAAATAAAATACATATCGTTTAATTTTACTTAATACGGCAAAATTATGCAAGGCTACACTTTAAGAAAACCCTATATTGATTTTTCATTGGTATTAAACACTTTTCAAAACACAGTCCTTTTACTTTGAATAAACTTTACTTCGTAAGCTAGAGAAAGTCACAAAGCGAGCTCACAAATATACATGTATACCCCGGCGCCCTTTTATCTACGTATACAAACTTTATATGCAGGGGTGGAGGGGGGAGGGGGGGTTGGAAGGGGGAGGGGGGACTTCCCTAGTCACACATCCCTGCCTTCATGTACATCTACGTATGATGTGCTATTCCTGTTTACGTTTCAATAACCAGAACTCCTTAACAAATAGTCGAATCACAAATTCTTTCCTTCAAGCACATCTACATACATGCATTGTGTAATGTCACTGTGCAAAGTGACAAAAATATCCAACGCACGGTTGAAGAGGAGTAGGGCTATCTTGAGAAGGATTTAAAGTTGCCAGGGACACAACTCCCTGAAAAATACCTTTCACGGTGACAAATTACGAAAAACATCCAACCAACAATTAAGCAGGTGTGTGGACAGGCGAACGGACAGGGTTATTCATATACATATACCTCATTTGCGGGTGTATAATGACTTAAGTAAAGGAGGGCACTCATTGGTCAATCGCCGTATATATATAGCTTGCCATCTGATAACTACACTCACGTTCAACGATAACCTGCGCGCGTATAATAATCAAAACCGTTCCTCAGTATGCATAGATATGATGACAAATATTCCGACGTTTTGGAGGTATGATTATGAATGTTCAGACGTTTCGGAGGTATGATTATGAATGTTCAGACGTTTCGGAGGTATGATTTTAAATGTTCAGACGTTTCGGAGGTATGATTTTAAATGTTCAGACGGTTCGGAGGTATGATTATAAATGTTCAGACGGTTCGGAGGTATGATTATAAATGTTCAGAGGGTTCGGAGGTATGATTATAATTGTTCATACGTTTTTGAGATATGATAATAAATGTTCAGGCGTTTCGGAGGCATGGTTATAATGTTCACACGTTTTGGGGGTATGATTATAAATGTTCAGACGTTTTGGATAAATGATTATAAATGTCCAGACATTTCGAAGGCATGATTTTAAATGTTCAGACGTGCCAGAGGTATGATTATGAATGTTCAGACGGTTCGTAGGCATGATTTTAATTGTTCAGACGTTTTGGAGATATGATAATAAATGTTCAGGCGTTTCGGTGGTATAATTAGGAATTTTCAGAAGTTTAAGAGGTATGACTATAAATGTCCAGACGTTTTGGAGGTATGGTTATAATGTTCAGACGTTTAAGAGGTATGACTACAAATGTTCAGACGTTTTGAAGATATGATAATAATTATTTAGAGGTTTTTAAGGTATGATTATAAATGTTCAGACATTTCGGAGGTATGATTATAAATGTTCAGACGTTTCGGAGGTATGAGTATAAATGTTCCGACGTTTCGGAGGTATGATTATAAATGTTTAGACGTTTTGGAGGTGATGTTAAGCTGATTAAATGTGATAATTGTATCAAATACCATCTTTCAGGATGCAAACATTCGAATTTAACCGAAAATCGATATCTACAAATGCCTACTTTACAGAGAAAATGTAACTAAAGCTGCATAATATTGAGTTGTTTGTGTAAATAATAACAAATTGGAGGAGGAACTTGTCTAGTTCTTTTGACGTTGTATAACAGATAATGCCAGATATATGTTATTGTTGCTATTAAATCGTGAATAAATACAAAACTCAGATTCAAAACTTTTGAAAACAATATTCTGACCACCATTATGAACCCAAAACAAATGATTATTTTGTAATCGGTTACCATTGAGTCCGCCATGATCCGTAACAGTGGCTGTAAAAGTGAAGCTGGTTCCCGCTCCAAGCGATGCCGTCGACTTCGTAATGTACATGCCCCCTGTACCGGTAATGCCGAAATAAGAATCTACGAGATTGCTCTGATCGATGGAATAGGTCATTGAACCTTAAATAAACATGATAACCAAAAATATTAATATCATAACCAAAAATATTAATATCATAACCAAAAATATTAATATCAAAAATATTAATATCATAACCAAAAATATCAATATCATAACCAAAAATATTAATATCATTACCAAAAATATTAATATCATAACCAAAAATATTAATATCATAACCTAAAGTATATTTTTATCATCACTCAAATAGCAATATCAATTCTTAAAATTGAAATATAAATAGCATTGGCTTTTAAATTTAAATTTAAATGTCATTACCGAAAATATACCAATCATTAAAATTAGGTAAAATCATCCAAATGTCACCAGAGTAAATTGAATTATCTTTAACATGAATTCAAATCAACTGTTTTTATGTTTCTCAGCAGTACAAACAACAGAAGATTGAATTACAGGGCAAAATGATAGCTAGGCTGTTTATCGGTTAGTTAACAGTACCATTTCTACAAACATTTCATTCAGACTTCGACACAAACAAAATGAAAGACTCCTTTATCCTAGAGGTAGGCAATTTGAGATAGAAGTATAATACAAGAGAACGAGTTGATGAATCTGTAACATACATTAAGTTCAGAATTATCAACAAAATTTACTTATTACAACTTTACCGCTTACCGTATATCCCAAGATCGCCATCCGTGGCTGTCACGCTTCCAAGGACGTCCCCAACAGACGCGAAACTTGACGTATAGAATGTGTAGTAGTCTGATCCAAATGTCGGTGTATTATCATTGACAGCATTCACCGTTATAAACAAGAAAGCGTACGCCTCAAGGTCACCATCAGAAGCAGTTAAGGTGCACGAGACTGATGACGCTGTGCTTATAATGTCAAGGTCATAGTCAATTGCAAAGGAAATGACGCCGCTCGTTGGATCAATGGTAAAATCGGGACAGTTAATACTGTAAGTGATGACGTCAGCAGGATCAGGATCGGTCGTTGAGAGAAGCGGGTCACCAAGGACAGTTCCAGACTAAAAGGGTTCAAAACACAGACGACTTATGAAACAAAATCATCATTATCATGGAAAGAGCAAACAATTGTTTTTACAGGATGCCTGACTTTCAGTTTACCCTTGGAATGAATAGCTTTTCCAGAAGATAAATAAATAGTCTTTTACTTCAGAGGATTACATGTGATACACAATTTAACAAAAAAAGTACTTTCAAACCCATGAGCCAAAGCTGATTTTTGGGAGTCCTTTTGTTCATGGTCCTCAACTCCACGCGGGCATTTTAAAATTGTCAATGTGATATGATTTATATATTTTTGTTATTGCAGTATAATTGGATCAAGTGATAATATAGCATCATGCTGGCCCTTATTCTAAACATATTTATAGAGTAAACGACAGTGACAAAACACTTACAACACCCTCGTTTCCCGATACATAATATGCTGTAAGTGAGAATGCGGGAGCTTCATTGATGTCTACTACGGCCACGGAGACAGATTGTGTGTCTGTCGCCTGACCGTCCGTCACGCTAATAGACACCGTGAACGACTTCGCTGTTAGAGCCTCGTAATCAATCTGAGTTGCTGATGACGTCCGCAGAAGTCCGGCTTGAATGAAAGTATGTCACATATGGAGATGAATATGTACGGACATCAGTAAAAGTAATACGGAGAAATAGTGTCTGCCTTTCAAGTTAGTTTCAAATCGATGTTTTTCTCTCGTCAGTGATGTGACTTTCTGTTTCTGTAAGACTTAGGTACTTCCGGTCCATGGCAACGAAAGTAACAGGCGAAGAAACTCTTAACAATAAGGTACAAGTGTACGAAGTATGACCATATGTAAAACTTTATTTCTCTCTGTTATAACTGAAACAAGAGGCCCATGGGCCTTAACGGTCACCTGAGTTATGTAAAAACTGATGTTATCGATGTTGCCAAATGAACAAGAAATCATTTTGTGACAAAAGTAACGTGAACTGCATGTAATGCAAAAGCAGTGTGAAAGATCTGGGTAGTATATGTACTATGTACAAATAGTGATTCTGTCAGTCAGCTGAATTATGGTAAAGCACCTTAAGACCCTTCTATCTATGAAGAGTAGTTGATTCTACCATATCTTGGTCTTGAGAAGAAGATTTTTGAAATTTTAGTCAATTCGACTCTTTTTGGCCCCACCCATCAGCCCCTGGGGGTCAGTCAGGGCTGATTTGTGCATATCACTAAACTGCTATCCAATACTGATAATGCTAACCAAGTTTGAATTAATTCCAATGGAAATTAAACAAATGCTGGTCCAAAATGTGATATCCCATTATTAACTATAGTAAAGTTTACCCCCTCCTAAGGGAGAATGGTGAGACCCCAGGGTCATGAAATTCACTATTTTAGTAAAGCACCTTAAGACCCTTCCATCTATGAAGAGTATTTGATTCTACCATATCTGGGTCTTGAGAAGTAGATTTTTGAAATTTCAGTCAATTCGACCCTTTATGGTCCCACCCTCAGGCCCCTTGGGGCTGGGGACCATATAATTCACAATTTTGGTTGACCTTTGACCATGGTAGGTTTCTGCAAAAAAATATTGAAATTGGTTCAGGGGTTTTGGAGTAGAAGTCGAAAATGTAAACTGTTTACGGACGCACGACGGATGACGCACGACGGACGACGCCGGACAAAAGGCGATCGCAATAGGTCACTTGAGACTTTGTTGTTCAGAACTTTGATATAAAAATATGAATCGATTACGCTATTGCTTAAAAAGTAGAAATCGTTAACACAGTACCATAAGGTTTGAAGAAACTCGATCTGACTATTAAGAAGATGCAAATATTACTCTCAACGAATCAATTCAGAATGATTTCGTTAGAAGTTGCCTAAAATAATGATTACGTGGCATTATATTCGCTGTTTCAAGTCATATGTATAAAATACCCGACCAGGTATTAAAATTACAATCATTTCCATAGCCCCCAACCCTATATACATTATTTCACATTTTTCTTTTTGCCGAGATTATATAAAAGAAACCTACTTGCGCTATCGACTGTGAACACCGTAGCTCCTTCCACTGGGCTGAATATAGCGCTGTACGTGAGGCTCTGAGTGGCCGTGTCAGGATCAGCTGCCGTCACCTTATACACCGACGTACTTAGACCGACAGTTTCCATTACAGACAGTGAAAACGTTAGGGGCAGGTTCTGAATCACCGGCACTGTGTTGATACCTGCGGGTAAATTTAACTGTTTGTAATGACGCAACAAGTTTGAACAAACTATGGAAGCACGCATGGGGTCTTCAGGAGAGAGAAACCGGGGAGTCGTACCATGCCCGTCTTGTTGAAATGTGAGTGCGCTTTCCGCTTCGACACACGATTCACAATCTTCAAATCTATATAAATGTACATTCATTTACGAATACATCTGGACTAAATTAACGAGCTAAGTAAACTTTAACTGTGCATATTTTACTAGTAGTTTGAACTTGCATTGTGAATTCAAAATTCTGCATATCAAGGGAGGCAGCTTTAGATAATAATGAAATGTAAATAAATATACAACATTTGATATAGCGCCCTATCTAGCTAACATAAGCCACTCTTAAGCGCTTTACAGTACAGAGATATACAATTTAATACAATGAATACAATTTGCTCAAATTACAAACTCGGATTGTTTCCCTATTTTTTTGACAAGTTTCACAACAACAGTGAAAAAAGCCCATGATAAACCATGGTCACGAGTTGAAGAATTATCTATGCTTAAAAATACATTCTGATGAATGAAGAATGTTCATCATACATTTTTTTCTCTAAATTAGGCTTCCAGTTTGATTAAACTTCGCGGATACACATCCGTTATGGAGGGGCTTTTATCACTATACCTGTTATCAGAACGGTCAATGTACGAGATCCCACTGTGGTCTGGCCGTCGCTGATACTGATAAATAGGTCGTAACCAACAGTGGTCAAAACATTCAGGTTGGTATTTGTTTGGACCTCACCAGCTAAAGACAAAAAACACAATCATGCATAATTCAACATCATCGTCGATGACAGTGCTATGACGTAGGTATCCGACGCCTAATACAAGGTTCGAATCTGGAAAATCCTGTTCCTATGACAATGCTCATCGTTATGAGCAATTCAATAAAATAATAATATAAAAGCCTCCTTTAAATGCCTCCTCCCTCGCCTACTGCCAAATGTATTCAATGTCTTACGTTTTATATACATGTAAGTTTACACCTATTCTTCGATATACAGCCTAACCTCTAAATAATTGCAAACATTTAGGACTTTAGTTGAGCGTTCGCCCTTGTGAGGAAGGCTTTGGGCACTGTCCCCTGGCCGAGACACACCAGAGTCTGTAAAAATGGTAGTTTCTACTCCTTCTTAACGCTCAGCAATTTAGGAGTGGGACGACTGGTTCGCCTGTTGTCAGTATAATGTGACCAGAAGGGGCTGTCCTACAGGGTGTCTTCGGCAGTATGTTACAGTGAGGTAGCACTGTAAAGTCGGCATCAGTTCTGCGTTATCACAAGGAGACAAACACGAACATATCGCAGCCTCCCAAAACACACACGCATACACTATACGCATGCATCTTGCACGCAGGGGAGGCCGTCCTTAAATGACCATAGCTGTTGATAGGACGAAGCTTTCAGGGGAGATAAAGGGATATCAGATCACTACACCAATCGTCATAACATTTCACGTAGATGAACGAGTCCCTGGTAGGAAACCCTGACAGGTAGCTTACGTACTGTTTGGATGTATGGTAAAAGGACAGCTGACCACTGAACACGTGGACGAAAAGGTAATAGTATCACCCTCAGAGTCAGAGGTGGCCACTTGGAAAACACTTGTACCGCTAGCCGTTGTCGTTGAAATGGACACGGAGTCTACAAAATAAGTAAGAGAAACAGAATGAGTAATGTTATAATTCCAGAAACAATAATGAGACAAGATTGCATGAAGTCGAAGTTTCATAAAAGAAGATTATTTTAGCATAGTGCAACTAATTAACAAACAGAAAGTAAAATATTTCACAGTATCAAAGTGATGAATTATCAGTTTTTGACCAATTTCAGTGTCAATTTATGGATATGATCGTTTATATAGAGAACGGAACCAGTGTCCCATAGAATAGCATTGTAGCTTTAAATAATAACAATTGTTTTTTTCTTTCTCTTAGATGATTTGGTAAAAAAAAAACTTCTTAAATGTAAAATAATTCGGAAGAAAATATCATCAAGTTTTTCTTTCCAAAAGGTTACTACATCACCTACTGATAGCTTCATTTAATCCTAAAGCTAATTTATATCAAATGGATACAACATCCATTCTACCTCATATTTCAATATTTATGTAAAATACCTACAAGTGCATTTCGCGTAGTACACGCAAAAAAGTTAACTAACAGTATTTTCAAAGTACTTACCCGGTAAATTGGTAAAGGCAGGCGGTGTATTGGGGAGAATGTAGGCAATAAGGAAACTAGTGTCGGTCGCTGAGTAAGAGTCGGTACATGTGACGTCTATGGTGTATTTCTTCTTTGTAGTGTAACTCAGCCCCGGATTCGTTTTGGAGTATATACCATATACTATCAATAAATGAGTTAACTCATCGAGTCAGTGAAAAGGTTAGCACAAGTCAAATTACAAAAAAATGGTATTAGCCAACGCAACTTATGGAAAATCTATTGTTAATAACATAACTTAACAATGGTGAATTTATAATACACCAATATTTGAAATGTAAATCATGGAACTAGTCAATGTAAATAATGGGACAAGTCAATGTAAATAATGGGACTAGTCAATGTAAATAATGGGACTAGTCAATGTAAATAATGGGACTTGTCAATGTAAATAATGGGACTTGTCAATGTAAATAATGGGACTAGTCAATGTAAATAATGCGACTAGTCAATATAAATAATGGGACTTGTCAATGTAAATAATGGGACTAGTCAATATAAATAATGGGACTAATCAATGTAAATAATGGGACTAGTCAATGTAAATAATGCGACTAGTCAATATAAATAATGGGACTAGTCAATGTAAATGATGGGACTAGTCAATGTAAATAATGGGACTTGTCAATGTAAATAATGGGACTAGTCAGTGTAAATAATGCGACTAGTCAATGTAAATAATGGTACTAGTCAACGAAAATAATGGGACTAGTCAATGTAAATAATGGGACTTGTCAATGTAATTTTACAAGAACAGGCCTCAACTTGGGACATTCTTACGATCTTCTATTACATTTCATTCCTCGATATATATTATTATTAAAAGCTAATTAGCTAGGATCTGGAAGTGAACATAAGTCATTAAGACCTTCATTAAAAGAGGGAAATTGTTGATATATGTTAGAGGTTGATAACAAGTAAAGGAAGAAAAACTCCCTGACTACTATCGCATAAGTTTGTTAATTATTTTTTGTTGTATCTTTTACTATAGTTATTTAGTTCATCCTATGCACATCTGGTCTGACATTATACCAACACACAGTGATTTTTTTTCTCACCTGAAGCTGGTGTCAATTTTGACAGAAATTTTGCCTCAGTTTCGGAACATGTGACAGTGTCGGAGGGCGAGGCGTCACTGGTAGTGATGCTGCGTAGCAATGTCTCTGTCGTGGTATCTTCATGTATATAGACGTAGTGGGGGAGGCTGGACATGGAGATCACAGGAGGCTGAAACACACATACACCAATAATACATAGCGACGTGGAGATCACGGGAGACTGATACACACATACACCAATAATACAGAGTGACATGGAGATCACAGAAGGCTGAAACACACATACACCAATAAATACATAGTGACATGGAGATCACAGGAGACTGAAACACACATACAGCAATAATACATAGTGACATGGAGATCACAGGAGACTGAAATAATACATAGTGACATGAAGATCACAGGAGGCTGAAACACACATGCACCAATAATACATAGCGACATGGAGATCACAGGAGGCTGATACGCACATACACCAATAATACATAGTGACATGGAGATCACAGGAGGCTGAAACACACATACACCAATAATACATAGCGACGTGGAGATCACGGGAGACTGATACACACATACACCAATAATACATAGTGACATGAAGATCACAGGAGGCTGAAACACACATGCACCAATAATACATAGCGACGTGGAGATCACGAGAGACTGATACACACATACAGCAATAATACATAGTGACATGGAGATCACAGGAGGCTGATACACACATACACCAATAATACATAGTGACATGAAGATCACAGGAGGCTGAAACACACATGCACCAATAATACATAGCGACGTGGAGATCACGAGAGACTGATACACACATACAGCAATAATCCATAGTGACATGGAGATCACAGGAGACTGAAACACACATACAGCAATAATCCATAGTGACATGGAGATCACAGGAGACTGAAACACACATACAGCAATAATCCATAGTGACATGGAGATCACAGGAGACTGAAACACACATACAGCAATAATCCATAGTGACATGGAGATCACAGGAGACTGAAACACACATACAGCAATAATACATAGTCACATGGAGATCACAGGAGGCTGATAGACACATACACCAATAATACATAGCGACATGGAGATCACCGGAAGCTGATACACACATACACCAATAATACATAGCGACTTGGAGATCACAGGAGGTTGATACACACATACAGCAATAATACATAGCGACATGGAGATCACAAGAGGCTGATACACACATACACCAATAATACATAGCGACATGGAGACCTTAGGAGGCTGATACACACATACACCAATAATACATAGCGACATGGAGATCACAGGAGGCTGATACACACATACACCAATAATACATAGCGACATGGAGATCACAGGAGGCTGATACACACATACACCAATAATACATAGCGACATGGAGATCACAGGAGGCTGATACACACATACACCAATAATACATAGCGACATGGAGATCACAGGAGGCTGATACACACATACACCAATAATACATAGCGACATGGAGATCACAGGAGGCTGATACACACATACACCAATAATACATAGCGACATGGAGATCACAGGAGGCTGATACACACATACACCAATAATACATAGCGACATGGAGATCACAGGAGGCTGATACACACATACACCAATAATACATAGCGACATGGAGATCACAGGAGGCTGATACACACATACACCAATAATACATAGCGACATGGAGATCACAGGAGGCTGATACACACATACACCAATAATACATAGCGACATGGAGATCACAGGAGGCTGATACACACATACACCAATAATACATAGCGACATGGAGATCACAGGAGGCTGATACACACATACACCAATAATACATAGCGACATGGAGATCACAGGAGGCTGATACACACATACACCAATAATACATAGCGACATGGAGATCACAGGAGGCTGATACACACATACACCAATAATACATAGCGACATGGAGATCACAGGAGGCTGATACACACATACACCAATAATACATAGCGACATGGAGATCACAGGAGGCTGATACACACATACACCAATAATACATAGCGACATGGAGATCACAGGAGGCTGATACACACATACACCAATAATACATAGCGACATGGAGATCACAGGAGGCTGATACACACATACACCAATAATACATAGCGACATGGAGATCACAGGAGGCTGATACACACATACACCAATAATACATAGCGACATGGAGATCACAGGAGGCTGATACACACATACACCAATAATACATAGCGACATGGAGATCACAGGAGGCTGATACACACATACACCAATAATACATAGCGACATGGAGATCACAGGAGGCTGATACACACATACACCAATAATACATAGCGACATGGAGATCACAGGAGGCTGATACACACATACACCAATAATACATAGCGACATGGAGATCACAGGAGGCTGATACACACATACACCAATAATACATAGCGACATGGAGATCACAGGAGGCTGAAACACACATACACCAATAATACATAGTGACATGGAGATCACAGGAGGCTGATACACACATATACCAATAATACATAGCGACATGGAGATCACAGGAGACTGATACACACATACACCAATAATTTATAGCGACATGGAGATCACAGGAGACTTACACACACATACACCAATAATACATAGTGACATGGAGATCACAGGAGACTGACACACACATACACCAATAATACATAGCGACATGGAGATCACAGGAGGCTGATACACACATACACCAATAATACAGAGTGACATGGAGATCACAGAAGGCTGAAACACACATACACCAATAATACATAGAGACATGGAGATCACAGGAGACTAATACACAGATACACCAATAATACATAGTGACATGGAGATCACAGGAGACTGCTACACACATACACCAATAATACATAGCGACATGGCGATCACAGGAGGCTGATACACACATACACCAATAATACATAGTGACATGGAGATAACAGGAGGCAGATACACACATAACAGCTGTTTGTATGATATAGAGGTTGGCCACAGCTGTTTTTATTATATAGAGGTTGGCCACAGCTGTTTGTATTCTATAGAGGTTGACCACAGCTGTTTGTATTTTATAGAGGTTGGCCACAGCTGTGTTTATTATATAGAGGTTGGCCACAGCTGTTTTTATTATATAGAGGTTAGCCACAGCTGTTTTTATCAAATATAGTTTGGCCACAGCTGTTTTTAGGATGTAGAGGTTGGCCACAGCTGTTTTTATTATATAGAGGTTGGCCACAGCTGTTTGTATTCTATAGAGATTGGCCACAGCTGTTTTTATTATACAGAGATTGGCCACAACTGTTTTTATTATATAGAGGTTGGCCACAGAAGTTTGTATTCTATAGAGATTGGCCACAGCTGTTTTTATTATATAGAGATTGGCCACAACTGTTTTTATTATATAGAGGTTGGCCACAGCTGTTTTATTATATAGAGGTTGGCCACAGCTGTTTTATTATATAGAGATTGGCCACAGATGTTTGTATTCTATAGAGATTGGCCACAGCTGTTTTATTATATAGAGATTGGCCACCGCTGTTTGTATTCTATAGAGATTGGTCACAGCTGTTTTATTATATAGAGTTTGGCCACAGATGTTTGTATTTTATAGAGGTTGGCCACAGCTGCTTTATTATATAGAGATTGGCCACAGATGTTTGTATTCTATAGAGGTTGGCCACAGCTGTTTTATTATATAGAGATTGGCCACAACTGTTTGTATTCTATAGAGGTTGGCCACAGCTGTTTTATTATATAGAGATTGGCCACAGCTGTTTTATTATATAGAGATTGGCCACAGCTGTTTTAATATATAGAGATTGGCCACAGCTGTTTTAATTAAATATAGGTTGTCCACAGCTGTTTTAATTAAATATAGGTTGGCCACAGCTGTTTTTATTATATAGAGGTTGGCAACAGCTGAATTGCTTGTCTCTATGGTTTCTGCGCCTTTAATCGTCAATGTCAAAGACGGTTTGCATTATTTACTTCGCTTTTCCTGATAAAGCAATTTTGTAAAGTCTACTTACACTGTCTAATATGAGTTTGCAACCAACAACAAATTAATGTCTGTAGAAAGAAGGCTCCTGCATTTCATATACTATACAAAAAGGTACTTTTCTGTTGTATTATCGAAAAAGTCAACTTTAGTTTTGAACGCAGTCGTTAGACAGCTTCGTTCAATTGTGGAAACAATCTAAAACATTCATGGATGTTGAGGCGGGGAGATATGGGCAAACCGGAAGTGATTTGTTCGCCATTGGTTCTGCTGATCTCAATACACGCTCCCAAATCATTGAAAAACCGGAAATGCAAAGTTCGCCATATTGGACTCCAAGAAAGTTGTTTGCCGGTACCAAAACACCAAATGTTTAGAGCATATGTATAGCCGGGTTATAACAACTAATATATTCCGCACATTTTGAATTTAATACCCACCGACGCTTTTTGTTCCATTTATCTTCAAAAACTCAACCTGATCACTTCTTAGTGGATCTATATCCCATGACATTCGACCACCGTCGATGTTGTTTGTTTTCTTACCTTCAAATGACATTATTTGAACCTCTAGGACGTCTGATAGGCAGGGTATAGATAAACCGTATGTAAATAGTCTCAAAATAGCATGACCAAATATGGCGATCGTTTTGCCGGCATGAAACCCTCTGTGAAAATAAGCTTTAAGCTACAGTAAAATGAATTGCTATGTACACTGTTACAAAAATGAGTGAAGTGATATCAAAGTTTTACTTTTTACAAAAACAATGTACGTATTAAACGTGTTGCAACGTTTCAAGACCGACTGGTCCCTTTTGCAAGCTATGACTGAATGAGCGGTTTGCAATATTTACCTGTACATGTACAACGATGTGACGAAATTGTATATTTGACATGTCACTCGACCCGAGACGTTTCGCCTTTCGATAGGGAGCGTATACGCACTATATTAGATATAGTTTACAGGTAGGGTGTAGATCTAGCCCCCTCCCCTGTTATATCGTATTGAGAATAAAAATGAATGAAGATGATAATGTATCGCTACGCGGTACGGTGACCCACTATGGTTATCCTTCTACGGCTTACAATAAGGGTGGTACATTATGTATCTACCCACTAGTGTAGCCGGGCTACATTAGTGGCGGGGCTACGTTAAGGCTCCTACACTGCTCTCGTGCGTTTATGTCTTTATACTTGTAGAAAACTTCTTTTTTACATGGGCAACATTGGTTTACTTACAGAATTCGTGACAGTTACGGAGAGAACCCCCGTGTCTGTGGAACTACAAGGATCAGTGGTCTGGAAGTTCAGTGTGTAGGTTCCAGGCGCTACCCCGTTCGTCTTTACAGTCACTTGCACTGAAATGTCAGTTTAACATGTCTCCGTCAAATACAAACAGGTTGTACGTTCTGCTCAATTAAAACCTGTGATAATCGTACACATCACAACAGTAATGACGTGAGTTTCTGGAGGCGTCCTCTGCCATAGTAATATCAGGTGTATCAAATAATGTCAAGTCCTGTATAACTTAGTACTTAGTAAATCATAAAGATTGAATAATAAATTTTAATAAGGAAATTTGAAAAAAAATTATTTTATACTCTCTTAAGCTGTCCAATATTTTGTTAACCAAATCTTCGACGTTGTAACTAGTTTTGGGCATACCTGGAGGAAGACGTATACAATAATTCTGAAGAAAATCAATACGTGTGTGACTGGTAACATTAGCTCAATGATTGATTTATAATGATTGATTTATAATGATCGATTTATAATCATCCTAACTATCCCCTGAGGTAAGATTACAGCTCCCCCTACATGAGGACATCCTAACTATCCCCTGAGGTAAGTATTTCCACTCCCCTACCTTGAGGACATCCTAACTATCCCCTTAGGTAAGTTGTCCGCTCCCCCACCTTGAGGACATCCTAACTATCCCCTTAGGTAAGTTTTCCGCTCCCCCACCTTGAGAACATCCTAACTATCCCCTTAGGTAAGTTTTCCGCTCCCTTACAGATCTAGAATCGCATTGTGAAACATTCTTAAGATCATTTATTATTTTTTTGTCTTTTCTCCTTTTTACATGTTGTAGTTTTGTATTTATTTTACTTACGTGATGTTGTGTCGAAATCGAAGTATGTTTCTGCTGTCATGGTAGTAGTGAGTGTATCACCGTCATCATCATTAACCGATACAGTAAAGAGGTAGTGCCCAATACCGGCCGAGTCAATCACCGTCACAGAGGCGCCGCCTAGGTTTGTAAACGTTGGGGCTGAACCTGGTTAATACACGATTCTTAAACGTATATGCTGCTTAACTTTGACATTTTTTCTCTCCTTCAGAGCTACGCATTAAGAAACATGTTTGATAAACGATCAGTGACAATTCCCACTGCCTTGCTTAATTGTAGACACAGAATCAACGATAAAACCGCTTATGATTTTGAATTATTGAATAATTCTACTCAAAACTTTCTAATAAAAATAACTAGAATATTTAGAACATTAACATACAACCTTACAATCTTTTAATAAAGATAATTCTACTGACAAGATGATACAAAACATTAGGTTTTATTGAACGTTTTGTTCACCGTAAATCCAAATTTCTACCGTCGCAAGTAAATCCACTTGTGAGGACTGCGTGTTTCCGTTTAAAGCTACCATGAATATTTCGTTCAATTCACTCCTTGTTCACAAAACAGAGAGATGAATACGGTTCAAAGTTAATTACAGACTAATTTAAAGCAATTTTTTCTTAGACATCGATTGTGATCAATACAGCAAACATTTTTTGGAGATAGCATCCCTCACTCTTCCCTGGTTTTTATCCTATTTTCGTATATCGTGTAAATATATGCTCTCAGCTTAATTGCTGCCTTCGACTGTCTTAGGCGAGGGGGCGATTGCTTTTATATAATAGCTATATTATCAATTATAGTATATCAGTTCTATATTCTTGTAATATGATGTATATGTACATGTAACTGTTCTGTTTCACTGTGGATCGCTCCGAAAATTTGACAACCTAAACTTGTCCACACTGTTGGAATTACTTCTTTGCCCCATATTGGTGGATATAATATACAATACATATGTGTAATGAGCTAGTAATGTTAAAGTATGGGTCACTGATGTCACGGACCAATTCACAATTGCTTGAATGGATAAACCCGTCCAAAATACCAGTTACAAGTAAAAACAGTTTAGGGAATACTTCCCAGCGCGCCCCTCAACACACTCCACATGCTCGATACTCCAGGATTTACGCTCACTTTCGCTCTCTACACCCCTGGAATATGTCATAGCAAAATTGAAGGCACGCCGCTAGCTATTTGATAGGTCTCATGTAACAAAAACTGACCAATCGCTTTGGCGAGAAAATCGGCAGAGCTCCGGTACGGTGAGAAAGCATTGAAAAGAAAAATGACCGTAGCAATACCGATGTAGTACTGGCGTTTCCGTTGTGATAACGTTGTTCTACCTATTGTAAGAGCCGATGTGCTACCGAATACCACTTTTCTGACACCTCAGTGTTACCGATGAGCCGCCGTTGTTCTACCGATGTGCCACCGTTAACCGTTGACCCAGCTACAGCGGAGTGATACCTTTGTGCTGCCGATATTACGGTAGTACATCGGCGGCGCAGCAGTACTACTTCGGTGGTATTCGGTAGAACTACGGTATCACATCGGTACCAGTACGGTACACATTGAGGCCACCGGAGAGCCGCCGATCCATTACGGGTCGCTACCGGTGCTCTACCGATCGGAACGAAGCCATACCGGAGTACCGCCGTTGTACTGCCGTTATAGTCCCGTTGCTCACTCTGGCAGCGCAACGGCGGACATTTTTGAGCATGTTCAAATTCTTACCGTCGCTTGTCGTTGATAAATTTTTCGCCGATGCCCTGACGATGTACTACCATTCTTACATGGTAGCAATGTGATACCGTTGCGCTGCCGTCCTAGTAACGATCCCCGAAAATCGCAAAATTTGTCCTCCGGTATAGCTCCGGCGACCCAAATCGGCTAAGTGTGACAGGCCCTTTAGGTGAACACCAAAGGATCAAACTAGTCTTCGAGTCTTCACAAGGTGACGCACACTGAGCCTTCAATTTTGAAATGACATATTCCAGGGGAGCAAAGAGTGAGAGAGAGCGTAACCCCTTGTGTATCGAGGACGTGGAATAGTCTCAGGGGAAAATGATTGAGCATACTATCGAATAGTTATGTGAAACAAACTTTGGTAAGTGTGTTTAGGTTATACTTGGTAGGTGTGATTAAGTTATACTTGGTAAGTGTGTTGAGATTATACTTGGTAGGTGTGTTTAGGTTATACTTGGTGAGTGTGTTAAGGTTATACTTGATAGGTGTGTTTAGGTTATACTTGGTTGGTGTGTTTAGGTTATACTTGGTGAGTGTGTTAAGGTTATACTTGATAGGTGTGTTTAGGTTATACTTGGTAGGTGTGATTAGGTTATTCTTGGTAAGTGTGTTGAGATTATACTTGGTAAGTGTGTAAGGTTATACTTGGTAGGTGTGTTTAGGTTATACTTGGTTGGTGTGTTTAGGTTATACTTGTTGAGTGTGTTAAGGTTATACTTGGTAGGTGTGATTAGGTTATACTTGGTAAGTGTGTTTAGGTTATACTTGGTGAGTGTGTTAAGGTTATACTTGGTGAGTGTGTTCAATACTTGGTTGGTGTGTTTAGGTTATACTTGTTGAGTGTGTTAAGGTTATACTTGGTAGGTGTGTTGATGTTATACTTGGTAAGTGTGTAGAGATTATACTTGGTAAGTGTGTTGAGGTTATACTTGGTAGGTGTGATTAGGTTATTCTTGGTAAGTGTGTTGAGATTATACTTGGTAGGTGTGTTTAGGTTATACTTGGTAAGTGTGTTTAGGTTATCTTTGGTAAGTGTGTTGAGATTATCCTTGGTAGGTGTGATTAGGTTATACTTGGTAAGTGTGTTTAGGTTATCTTTGGTAAGTGTGTTGAGATTATCCTTGGTAGGTGTGATTAGGTTATACTTGGTAAGTGTGTTGAGGTTATACTTGGTGAGTGTGTTTAGGTTATACTTGGTAGGTGTGTTTAGGTTATCCTTGGTGAGTGTGTTAAGGTTATACTTGGTAGGTGTGTTGATGTTATACTTGGTAAGTGTGTTGAGATTATACCTGGTAGGTGTGTTTAGGTTATACTTGGTGAGTGTGTTTAGGTTATACTTTAGGTTATACTTGGTGAGTGTGTTAAGGTTGTACTTGGTAGGTGTGTTTAGGTTATACTTGGTGTGATTAGGTTATACTTGGTAAGTGTGTTTAGGTTATCTTTGGTAAGTGTGTTGAGATTATCCTTGGTAGGTGTGATTAGGTTATACTTGGTAAGTGTGTTTAGGTTATACTTGGTGAGTGTGTTAAGGTTATACTTGGTGAGTGTGTTCAATACTTGGTTGGTGTGTTTAGGTTATACTTGTTGAGTGTGTTAAGGTTATACTTGGTAGGTGTGTTTAGGTTATACTTGGTGAGTGTGTTTAGGTTATACTTGGTAAGTGTGTTGAGGTTATACTTGGTGAGTGTGTTTAGGTTATACTTTAGGTTATACTTGGTGAGTGTGTTAAGGTTATACTTGGTGAGTGTGTTCAGGTTATACTTTGCAGGTGTGTTTAGGTTATACTTGGTGAGTGTGTTAAGGTTGTACTTGGTAGGTGTGTTTAGGTTATACTTGGTTGGTGTGTTTAGGTTATACTTGGTAAGTGTGTTGAGATTATACTTGGTAAGTGTGTAAGGTTATACTTGGTAGGTGTGTTTAGGTTATACTTGGTTGGTGTGTTTAGGTTATACTTGGTAAGTGTGTTGAGATTATCCTTGGTAGGTGTGATTAGGTTATACTTGGTAAGTGTGTTGAGGTTATACTTGGTAAGTGTGTTGAGGTTATACTTGGTAGGTGTGTTAAGGTTATACTTGGTAGGTGTGTTTAGGTTATACTTGGTGTGATTAGGTTATACTTGGTAAGTGTGTTTAGGTTATACTTGGTAGATGTGATTAGGTTATACTTGGTAAGTGTGTTGAGATTATACTTGGTAAGTGTGTTAAGGTTATACTTGGTAGGTGTGTTGATGTTATACTTGGTAAGTGTGTTGAGATTATACTTGGTAAGTGTGTTGAGGTTATACTTGGTAAGTGTGTTGAGATTATACTTGGTAAGTGTGTTGAGGTTATACTTGGTAAGTGTGTTGAGGTTATACTTGGTGAGTGTGTTTAGGTTATACTTGGTAAGTGTGTTAAGGTTATACTTGGTGAGTGTGTTCAGGTTATACTTTGCAGGTGTGTTTAGGTTATACTTGGTGAGTGTGTTAAGGTTATACTTGGTAGGTGTGTTTAGGTTATACTTGGTGAGTGTGTTAAGGTTATACTTGGTAGGTGTGTTTAGGTTATACTTGGTAAGTGTGTTTAGGTTATACTTGGCGAGTGTGTTGAGATTATACTTGGTAAGTGAGTTGAGGTTATACTTGGTAAGTGTGTTAAGGTTATCCTTGGTAGGTGTGTTTAGGTTATACTTGGTAAGGGTGTTTAGGTTATACTTGGTAAGTGTGGTGAGATTATACTTGGTAAGTGTGTTGAGGTTATACTTGGTAAGTGTGTTTATGTTATACTTGGTAAGTGTGTTAAGGTTATACTTGGTGAGTGTGTTCAGGTTATACTTTGCAGGTGTGTTTAGGTTATACTTGGTGAGTGTGTTGAGGTTATACTTGGTAAGTGTGTTTATGTTATACTTGGTAAGTGTGTTAAGGTTATACTTGGTAAGTGTGTTTAGGTTATACTTGGTGAGTGTGTTGAGATTATACTTGGTAAGTGTGTTGAGATTATACTTGGTAAGTGTGTTAAGGTTATCCTTGGTAGGTGTGTTGAGGTTATACTTGGTGAGTGTGTTGAGGTTATACTTGGTAAGTGTGTTAAGGTTATACTTGGTAGGTGTGTTTAGGTTATACTTGGTAGATGTGTTTATGTTATACTTGATTAGTGTGTTAAGGTTATACTTGGTAGGTGTGTTTATGTTATACTTGGTAGGTGTGTTGAAGTTATGCTTGGTAAGTGTGTTAAGGTTATACTTGGTAGGTGTCTTTAGGTTATACTTGGTAGGTGTGTTGAGGTTATACTTGGTAGGTGTGTTAAGGTTATATTTGGTAGGTGTGTTTAGGTTATACTTGGTAGGTGTGTTGAAGTTATGCTTGGTGAGTGTGTTTAGGTTATACTTGGTAGGTGTGTTGAGATTATGCTTGGTGAGTGTGTTTAGGTTATACTTGGTAGGTGTCCCTTTGGTTATACTTGGTAGGTGTGTTGAGGTTATACTTGGTAGGTGTGTTTAGGTTATATTTGGTAGGTGTGTTTAGGTTATACTTGGTAGGTGTGTTGAAGTTATACTTGGTGAGTGTGTTTAGGTTATACTTGGTAGGTGTGTTGAGATTATGCTTGGTGATTGTGTTTAGCTTATACTTGGTAGGTGTGTTGAAGTTATACTTGGTAGGTGTGTTGAGATTATACTTGGTAGGTGTTTTGAGATTATACTTGGTAAGTGTGTTGAAGTTATACTTGGTAGGTGTGTTGAGGTTATACTTGGTGAGTGTGTTTAGGTTTTACTTGGTAGGTGTGTTTAGGTTATACTTGGTAAGTGTGTTAAGGTTATACTTGGTGAGTGTGTTTAGGTTATACTTGGTAGGTGTGTTTAGGTTATACTTGGAAGGTGTATTAAGGTTATACTTGGTAGGTGTGTTGAGATTATACTTGGTAAGTGTGTTGAAGTTATACTTGGTAAGTGTGTTGAGGTTATACTTGGTAGGGGTGTTAAGGTTATACTTGGTAGGTGTGTTGAGGTTATACTTGGTGAGTGTGTTTAGGTTATACTTGGTAGGTGTGTTTAGGTTATACTTGGTAAGTGTGTTAAGGTTATACTTGGTGAGTGTGTTTAGGTTATACTTGATAGGTGTGTTGAAGTTATACTTGGTAAGTGTGTTGAGGTTATACTTGGTAGGTGTGTTAAGGTTATACTTGGTAGGTGTGTTGAGGTTATACTTGGTGAGTGTGTTTAGGTTATACTTGGTGAGTGTGTTGAGATTATACTTGGTAAGTGAGTTGAGATTATACTTGGTAAATGTGTTGAGATTATACTTGGTAAGTGTGTTGAGATTATACTTGGTGAGTGTGTTGAGATTATACTTGGTAAGTGTGTTGAGCTTATACTCGGTAAGTGAGTTGAGAGTATACTTGGTGAGTGTGTTGAAGTTATACTTGGTAAGTGTGTTGAGGTTATACTTGGTGAGTGTGTTGAGGTTATACTTGGTGAGTGTGTTGAGATTATACTCGGTAAGTGTGTTTAGGTTATACTTGGTAAGTGTGTTAAGGTTATACTTGGTGAGTGTGTTTAGGTTATACTTGGTGAGTGTGTTGAGATTATGCTTGGTAAGTGAGTTGAGGTTATACTTGGTAAGTGAGTTGAGGTTATACTTGGCAAGTGTGTTTAGGTTATACTTGGTAAGTGTGTTGAGATTATACTTGGTAAGTGAGTTGAGGTTATACTTGGTAAGTGTGTTGAGGTTATACTTGGTGAGTGTGTTGAGGTTATACTTGGTGAGTGTGTTGAGATTATACTTGGTGAGTGTGTTGAGGTTATACTTGGTAAGTGTGTTGAGGTTATACTTGGTAAGTGTGTTTAGGTTATACTTGGTAAGTGTGTTGATATTATACTTGGTAAGTGTGTTTAGGTTATACTTTGGTAAGTGTGTTGAGGTTTCACTTTGGTTAGTGTGTTGAGGTTTTACTTTGGTAAGTGTGTTGATGTTTTACTTTGGTAAGTGTGTTGAGGTTTTACTTTGGTAAGTGTGTTGAGGTTTTACTTTGGTAAGCGTGTTGAGGTTATACTTTGGTAAGTGTGTTTAGGTTATACTTTGGTAAGTGTGTTGAGGTTTCACTTTGGGAATAGTGTTGAGGTTTTACTTTGGTAAGTGTGTTGAGGTTTTACTTTGGTAAGTGTGTTTAGGTTTCACTTTGGTAAGTGTGTTGAGGTTTTTATTTGGTAAGTGTGTTGAGGTTTCACTTTGGTAAGTGTGTTGAGGTTTTACTTTGGTAAGTGTGTTGAGGTTTTACTTTGGTAAGTGTGTTGAGGTTTCACTTTGGTAAGTGTGTTGAGGTTTCACTTTGGTAAGTGTGTTGAGGTTTTACTTTGGTAAGTGTGTTTAGGTTTCACTTTGGTAAGTGTGTTTAGGTTTCACTTTGGTAAGTGTGTTGAGGTTTTTATTTGGTTAGTTTTTGAGGTTTTACTTTGGTTAGTGTGTTGATGTTTTACTTTCACAAGAGTTCTGAATTTGGTAAGTGTATTGAGGTTGTGCGTGTTCCACATTGCTGTCTGTCTAAAACGTCCCAGAAATACATACTGGTGGTGATTATGTGTGCAATGAGTATGTCGTTGCTAAAAGGACGCAATTTATTTAATTACTTGTGACATCACCACAAAATAGAAAAGTATTACACGGACAGCAGATGATTGGAATGACAGATTTCTACTTACCAGAGTTTACCTTGGCGTTTAGTGCGTATTTCCTATCATCGTCCGTTGTTACGGTTCCCCAGTTAAACGTGCCGCCAACTCCTATATTGCCAACATTCGTTGTCTCCTTGAAGTCCTTCCCTCCCCCCTCGTTTTTATTTGACACTATTGGATTACCTGGATTGTATCTGTAAGTAGGAACACATATTTTATTTAAAGTTGTTACATTCGTGTTATCCTTCAATTGATTTAAAAAAATCTAATTTTGTAAGCTTCATTTGTGTAACTGAGCAAGAAAAAAGAAAAACAAATTGTTTTGACTCTATATTATCCACTTTATTGAGTAATGAGGTCGTGACAGTAAATTTAGAACCAATTTATCTGTTTACATCTAGGAACATATCTTAAATGTATATACTTAGTTAGACATCTTAACAGTAAGTCATCTAAACATCAACATATCTAGTTAGACATCTCAAAAGTTAGTTATCTAAACACTGTCGACACACTAACACTAACATCCCTGTATACAAATTAACACTAACATTTCTATAGACAAATTAACATTAAAATCCCTGTAGACATATTAACACTTACATCCCTGTAGACATAGTAACACTTACATCCCTGTAGACATATTAACACTTACATCCCTGTAGATATAGTCACACTTACTTCCCTGTAGACATATTAACACTTACACCCTGTAGACATCTGAACACTTACATCCCTGTAGACACATTAACACTTACATCCCTGTATATATAGTCACACTTACTTCCCTGTATACACATTAACACTTACATCCCTGTAAATATAGTAACACTTACTTCCCTGTATACATATTAACACTTACACCCTGTAGACATCTGAACACTTACATCCCTGTAGACACATTAACACTTACATCCCTGTAAATATAGTAACACTTACTTCCCTGTAGACACATTAACACTTACACCCTGTAGACATAGTAACACTTACATCCCTGTAGACATATTAACACTTACACCCTGTAGACATAGTTACACAAACATCCCTGTAGACATAGTAACACTTACACCCTGTAGACATACTAACACTTACATCCCTGTAGACATATTAACACTTACATCCCTGTAGACATAGTAACACTTACATCCCTGTAGACATATTAACACTTACATCCCTGTAGACATAGTAACACTTTCATCTCTGTAGACATAGTAACACTTACATCCCTGTAGACATATTAACACGTACATCCCTGTAGACATACTAACACTTACATCCCTGTAGACATAGTAACACTTACATCCCTGTAGACATACTAACACTTACATCCCTGTAGACATATTAACACTTACATCCCTAGGTAATCATCTTGTTGTACTTGGATTCTTTCTCCAATTCCAATCGCTGCAGTGTGTTCGTCGTTCACCATTCCCGCTGCAAGTATTCAAATATCGATCCAAGTTCGATCACATGAACATTTACGGTTAGGCTATATGATTAATGGGTCATTTTTAAACCCTTCCTCTCAAGGAGTCATCTTTCAATATTAAATAAAATTATTAAAATCAAAATGAACCGAATCGTTGACTGAGTTTATACTAGAATTCGATATACAGACTATCGATGTTCATCACTGAAAATCATCACATTCTGTCGTAATCCTACAAATCAACCATGTACAAATGTATTTTGATACCTACCATTCGTCCCTTCCTATTCCTATATGTGTTTTTCCCAACCCCTTCTACTCATAATACCCTATCTTACCCGACCCTTTTAGATTTTGATATTCCGTCTAGCTGTAAGCCCGTTATATATACAATCAACCTGATGGATCAATTCCGTCTTTGCGTATTGCAGAGTTATCTTCTCTTGGGAGCAGGTATTGATTGTTACGTCACTTGTTTGTGAGAGAAACGTCATCTATTTTTGAGAAACGACGTAATTTTCTCACACAAACCAATGACGTAACAATCAAAACCTGCTCCCAAGAGAAGATAACTCTGCAATACGCAAAGACGGAATAGGTTATAAAGGTTTCAGCGTTTCCGTCTGTTCTTCTCTCAGTCTTCGTCATCGCGTCCCCCTCCTCATCCCCTCCCTCTTAATACCGCTTTAAGTTTTAGTTCTGTTTGAATTTGTTTCCTCGTTATGTATCTTCAAATAACGAATCGCTTTTTCCTATTCGTCTCTCGGAAGTCAATGGTATGCATCTAAACATGTACACAATCACGCATTGCCGGGATAAAATATCCGGAATTAAGATGCCTGCTGTACAATAGACTTTGGCAGGCACTACCTGACCAGACAATTGGTGTCACAAATCAAGCCAAATCAACAACTGGGCAATATCATGTCATACATGTACGTACAAGTTACGGTGATGATGTTCTCTCCTACTAGTGTATAGGTATTCCCAGATAACAGCCTCCACACTTGTAAATGGACGGTTCCGCTGTTGGTCTTGGCGTAGTATTCCCATTCGTATATATTTCCACAGTCACAGTCCACTTTGTAGTCGTTGTTAATGATAAGTGTACTGGTACCTTGAGGTAAAGGGTTAAAATATAAATAGTAATAATACAGTTATAATTATATTTTGTTTAAAGGGGGGACGCATGCTGCACACTTGTCTGATTATAGTGGCCGGGGACACGAGTTGTCCACTGTTCTGTTAACAGTAGGGATACAGTATGCCAGAAATGAATTACACTGCATCAACAAGCTGCTTTGTCCTTCTAGGATTCATCGGTGATGCTAGTGGCCAATAAACTGTAAATCAAATCTTAAATTGTTTAAATTGCTGTAGAAACAGAAGGAGAATTGCATCAAAACCTCTTAATCTTATGAGTTTCAAATTAAGAGAAGTTTGTATTGTAATGGACCGTGCCACTACTCAAAAGAGATAACTGTGGTTATCAAGGTTACGACAAGCCTCGGGGACACAGAAATCTACCAGCAGAGTCTGCCCACTTTAATCTTGAAAGATGGACATAGCAAACACACACACAGATGACTGCAGCAGAGACAGTGAGCCAGAAATGGATTCCACTGCATCCTACAACAGTTTCCTCCTTCTAGGATTCATTGGTGATGCTAATGGTCGATAAGTTGGAACAATACATTTTTATCACATAATGTACCGTGTTATCCAGTGAATATACCCATGTCATATGTTTTTGCGTATTAAACCATATAATATGACCTATCAGCCCTGTGATTGGTTGTAAGTTCAATTGTTTCAATTGTGACGTCACTCCTAGGACAAGTACATGTACATGACGTCACAGACTTACGCACTGGAGTCAAAATGATGGCTTTTTACAATTTTAAGGTTGCATGAAAATTCTCGTTTTACACGAATAAATGCCACAAATCTTGATTATGTGATAAAAATGATCTTACACTCGTTTTCCTATAATATGAAATTAATGAACTCGTCACGAATTTTTCATTTTAGCTCGCCAGAGGCTCGCTTAGTTGGAAAATTCTTACACTCGTTTCATAAATCTAATACGAAATGGAAACTCATGTAAGATCCTATATATGTCTAGTATGCCAAAAAATATGAATTAAATAAAAAAAATCTAAATGATCATAAATACAGTCTTCAATTTCCAAATGTAAATCTATCAGGTATATAAATTTGTTCTGTGAAAAGAAGAGAAAGTGGACCAATGTTGGTTCTGTCCTAAACTTAGCTTTCAGTAAACGAACAAGCTTTAGTGCGATAAGTAATAATGGCGTTATTTCTCTATTGTTCTGTTGTTATGTAATTTCCCTGAACACTTACCAGTTGTTCCATCCAAGTCATCATCCTTCTTGTTTGGATCATTTTCGCCGATAGTTCTACCCCCTCCTCCTCCGCAGTTAGCTCCTGTATCAAGGATAATTCACATTAGTCCGACAGTTACTTTTATAAAATACTGCACACCGGGAAATTTCCGCAGCAGTGTAACTTTCGCCTTGTTCGCCCTCCTTAACGACGGTGAATTTATGACGGCGAATATTAGTACACGGAAAACAGCAACATATACTTATTACATGTGACGGGCTAATTTAACACTGGGCGAACACGGATAGGTTTTATAGGCAAATGGCGATTATTTGACTGGGCGAAAGTTTCCCGGTATTAAGTTGTACTTTTAATGTGAACAAGCCATCAAGTCAGACAACATGCCCAGACAGCACATAGAACACTCTTTAAGATATTCAAATTGGTCAAATTATGTACGGTAGTAAATATCTTCTCTAAACATCTAGAACATCAAACTTGTCTCATGTGGACGAGATGTACCTTTGGGTCTAAAATCAAAAGAATGATCGGTTAATATTGTTTTGTTGTTGTTTTGTGTTGTCATAAAGTCACTGTCAACAAGATGGTATTATTATGATTTTTTTTTACCTTATGTAGATGCAATCAATTTCCTCCATAACATATAAAATAGTGTAATATTCTTTTTTTTTTAAACGAGACTTCATATTTTGGTCTGCCATCCTCCAAAATATCATCAACATCAGAAGTATAGATACCTGTATAATAATCAAACAACTGCACAGCACGGGAATCATGTTATGCTAATATAAACGGTCTTATTGATTACTACGTAGTATCAGATCATAAATCATATTGGAAACTAACTGTTTAGGCGGTTAATTAAATCAGGCGATAAATCTAATGAAATTTCACCATTTGTTGATCCACAAAATGGGAGTATTATATATGATGATTTTGAAAAAGGCTAAGACTTTTAATAATTATTTTTCTTCTATCTCAGACTTGGATGACAGTGATGCTAGAGTTCCTTCCCTTGATCCTAGAACTAATTCTTCCTTGGCTTCCATTCAATTAAACCATTCGGAAATAAAAGACGTTTTGGAAGTATTAAAATTAGGTAAAGCTCCTGGTACAGATGGTATTAGTCACCATATGTTATGACACACTGCAAAAACTATATGTAAACCTCTTCAAATATTATTTGATTTGTCATTGTCTAAATGTATATACCCGACTTTGTGGAAACAAGCTATAGTAATGCCCTCGTACAAAAAAAAGAAGATAAACATTTACCTTCAAATTACAGACCTATCTCTTTACTATCAGCTGTAGGAAAAGTTTTTGAACGAGTAATTGTCAAACATATTCACAACTACTTTTTTGAAAACTCACTATTTTATTCAAGACAATCTGGATTTATGTCTAATCATTCCACTGTGCATCAGCTAATCGAAATCTATCGTAATATCAGTTTAAATCTGGATGAAAAGAAACATACTTGTATTATCTTTTGTGACATATCAAAGGTTTTTGATAAAGTATGGCGTAAGGGTCTGATTGAAAAGCTTAAATGTTATGGTATTACAGGAAATTTCTAGAAGTGGTTAATTAATTATCTACAGGCCCGACAACAAAAAGTTTTTATTGGTGAATCATTTTCGAATAGTCAGCTATTCAAAGCTGGGGTACCTCAATGACAAGATCGCATAAAGAAACCTTTGTAAACTGGTCTAGTGGATGATTGTGTTCCGATGTGGTATGAACTAACACAACAGATTAATTATTAGTGGGAATTACACAGGGCATAGGAATAGTATGCGAGTAAAGAAATAAAATCATTATATATTTTCAAATGGTCTCCAGAAACCACTGCCCTCACGTATACCATTCACGGACGGATACTAGCAACGCGTTGATCTTCCCAATTTTTAATATATGAACATTTCATGTGATTAAAAATCAATGTTGCGCTATCACATGTAGTTGACACGCTATGGACGTTAATAATATGTAGTTGACACGCTATGGACTTAATGACATAGTGTGCTGATATATGTTGACAGATTATTAGGCTCGGATTGCTAAAAAAAACAGTGTACAAAGCTTGAAAAGCGCTATATGTAGAACAGAAAAACACCACAGCGCCAAACACACTGGGACAGTGAAAATTAAAATTCGATAGGACATTGTGGAAGTTATCACAACGTGTCAAATACGTAACACAGGATAGTACGTCGTCAGCCAGGACATTGGGGGAGTAGCCCCTTTCCCAACGTGTCAAACCGTACCATAGGATAGTACGTCGTCAGTCAGGCCATTGGGGGAGTACCGCCTCTCACAACGTGTCAAACCCGTAACATAGGATAGTTCGTCGTCAGCCAGGACATGGGGGGAGTAGCACCTATCACAACGTGTCAAACCGTAACATAGGATAGTACGTCGTCAGTCAGGACATTGGGGGAGTAACACCTATCACAACGTGTCAAACCCGTAACACAGGATAGTACGTCGTNGTGGGATATTCTATAGACCCCCAGATGAACCTGTTTCTTCTTGGGACCATATTGCTCATTCTATCGAACTTGCTTTTAACACTGGAATTCCCAACATTATAATAACCGGCGACTTCAACGCAAACTTACTAAATAATAATAATAACCACTCTATTCACCTTCGCAACTTACTAACTACTTACAATCTTACACAGAGTGTCGCCAATCCTACCTTTTTCACTGAATCGTCTTCCTCTCTCCTAGATATAGTCTGTGCTAGTGACCCATCCTTAGTTAACTTATGTCATGTCGGTGAAAGCTTCCTAGACCAGCCTATTAGATATCATTGCCCAGTATATGGTAGCCTTAATATATCCAAACCCATTCAATCATGTTTTAAACGTAACATTTTGTTATATGACCTCGGTGACTATGACGATTACAGAGACAAGCTTTCTAAAATTGACTGGGACAGCATTCTAGATAATAATAACATAGACAGATGTACTGACCTACTTACTGACATTATACTTAAGACGGCTAGAGAATGTATACCGAATAAGACTATAACTGTAAGAAGTAACGCTCCCGCATGGTTAAACAACAGAGTAAGAAAACTGATCCGAAAAAGAAAATACCTTCATCGAAAAGCTAAGCATTCTGGTAAAGTAGACGACTGGGCAAAATTTAGAAAATTCAGAAATACTTGTATAAACGCCATTCGTAATTCCAAACGGGACTATTTTAACAAACTCTGTGATAAACTCAACTATAATACTAACACTTGTGCCAAGGAATGGTGGAAAATTATAAATGGTTTTATGTCTAACTCTAAAAGAAAAGGCGGCATTCCTCCTATTTCTGCCAATAACGACATTTTTTATGACGATCTCGATAAAGCAAACGCCTTTAACACTTTTTTCTCCTCACAATCTACTATTAATGACTCTAATATTGATCCCCCTGTTCTAAACTATTCTCATACTCACATACTTTCCGACATTGTTATATCTCGTCAAGACGTTCTTGATGCAATACAGTCCCTTGACATGAAGAAAGCCTCTGGTCCCGACCTTATAAGTCCTCGTTTGATTAAGGAAGCTGCCGATATTCTTAGCTATCCACTACAAATCCTATTTAACCGTTCGCTCACTGAATGTATTTTTCCGTCATCTTGGAAAACTGCTCATGTGACACCAGTATTTAAAAAAGACGATCCATCTACTTTAAGTAATTATCGTCCTATCTCTCTATTATCAATTGTTGGGAAAATGTTGGAACGCTGTGTATATAAATATGTTTACAACTATCTTATTGATAAATCTTTATTAACACCCTTCCAGTCTGGTTTCAGATCCGGTGATTCCACTATAAATCAACTTCTATCTATTTCTAATGATATCTTCTCTGCTCTTGATAAAGGTAAAGAAGTCCGAATGGTCTTCTGTGATATCAGCAAAGCGTTTGACCGAGTATGGCATCGAGGCCTTCTTTCTAAACTAAAATCTTTCGGCATCACAGGAAATGTTTTTACTTGGTTCTCAGATTACTTACATAATCGCTGTCAACGTGTTGTTATAAATGGTAAACAATCTTATTTAGCATATATCACAGCAGGAGTTCCACAGGGATCAATTTTAGGTCCACTGCTCTTTTTAATCTTTATAAATGATATTGTCAAAGACATCGATTGTACTATAAAGCTATTTGCTGACGATACGTCTCTATATGTCAAAGTGGAGTCACCGGGTCCGACCGCAAACCTGTTAAATAATAATCTAATGAAAATTCACGATTGGTCTAAAACTTGGCTTGTAAATTTTAATCCTAACAAAACTGTAACAATGACTGTTAGTAAGAAACTCGAAAAACCGATCCATCCCTCTCTGTATATGAACAACATTTCTTTAACTGAAGTCACTTGCCATAAACATCTCGGTATCTCTATCTCAGCCAATGGAAGTTGGAGTGACCATATTCAAAACATTATTAGTAAAGCCTCTAAAAAAATTAGCATAATTAGGAATCTAAAATTTATCATTGATAGAAAGTCTCTTCAAACGATATATTATACTTTTATAAGACCCTTATTAGAATATGGTGATATTGTATGGGACAACATAACTTTAGGCCAAAGCCAGTTGATTGAAAACATACAACTCGAAGCAGCCAGAATCGTGACTGGGGCAACCAAACTCACAAGTCACGACAGACTATATGCAGAATCTGGTTGGGACCCCCTTATTGTCCGAAGGAGAAAACACAAATTAATCCAATTTCATAAGATTGTTCATGGTCAGTGCCCTTCTTATCTTGCTAACGTTCTACCTGCTCGCCATTCAAATATACATACTTACAATACAAGAAGGGCTAACAACTTCTGTCAAGTCAACTGTCGAACTAATCTATATAAAGACTCTTTCCTCCCCTCTTCTATTGATTTATGGAATGCACTACCAGATAACGTAAAATACAATCCCTCAATTACTAACCTCAAAAAAATTCTTAATGCCGACACTCTCTCTGTTCCTCAGCACTATTACTACTGCAGAAGCAGACAAGGTCAGATCCATCATGCACGACTTAGGATGAACTGCAGCTCCTTAA